AGTGATCCACGCCTTTGTAACCACTCGGCTGGATTACTGTAACGCACTCTACATTGGGGTCAGTGCATCATGTATTAGTCACCTACAGAGGGTGCAAAATGCCGCAGCTCGTCTTTTAACTGGCACTCGAAAGTTTGAGCACATTTCCCCTGTTTTAGCTTCACTTCACTGGCTGCCCATTTCTTTTAGGATTCATTTTAAAATTCTTTTGTTTGCTTTTAAATGTCTTCATGGCCTCGTCCCCTCTTATCTCTCTGATCTGATACAGCCTTACACTCCCTCCTGCTCTCTCAGGTCTGCTCATCAGCTGCTCCTGATTGTACCCAGGACTGGGCGTAAACTTAGAGGAGATCGCGCTTTTGCTGTAGCAGCTCCAAAACTGTGGAACGAACTTCCTTTAGAGATAAGACAGGCCAGTTCCTTATCTGTTTTTAAGGCACTCCTGAAAACCCACCTCTTTACCCTGGCTTTTGATACCTTGTGAGATGTTGGTTTCTATTTTTTATTTTATTTTAGCTGTTTTAGGTGATTCAATGCTGTTTTATCAAGTTTTATCAAGTTTTTATTTTTTTAATATAGGGCTATTTTAATTTTATGTATCATGTGTTTTATTTATCTTTGCTTTTTTCTGTTTAGTCAATTGTTTTAATGTATTTTCTGTACAGCACTTTGTTCCTGTGCTGGGTCTTTTAAAGTGCTTTATAAATAAAACTGGATTGGATCATATGTATTGCTCTATGCCTCTCAGCATGCCCACTAATTCAGAACTCACACACACACACACACACACACAATCTCTCTCTCTCACTCCCATCTCTCTATAAATAAACTCTGTGACCAGATGTTCGGGGCATTTTGCCTCGTGCGTTGTGCCGCAGTTATAACTGTTTGACTTTTCTGTTCATTGTCTCCTTTTTCTCTCGGACTACAGGAAATGGGTTATTGATAAACATATTGATAAAATCCATGACACAATTTGGTCCTTCGAGCTAGATTTCATTTTGTTTAGAATGTCCTTTCCCTTCCTGGAACGATTATCATCTTTTCAAACACTTTTAGGGTTGTGTGTATCTAAGAGCACCGTCAGTTGTTTAAATTTTGATTGGTCACTCTCTCTATGTGACAAATGAGTTTTATTTTCCTTAGATAATTCTGTTGTCCGATTTCACTCATGGAGCTTTAATTTAGCAGTATTTATCTCCTGTTGACACATTATACACAATATTTGAGTAGCGTTATTGAGTGACATTGTACATTGCTGATGTACTCTGAAGCAACCTTACCTTACTGAACCCATGTGGAGTTGAAATTTTATTTTTCCAATTAGGACTGGGTTCGCTGTTAGTCAATTCCAGTGTTAGAGGCAAAGAGATTAAATTAGGAAGTCACTAGAGGTGAAAGTTTCTGGAATAATGAGAGCAAACACAAAGTCTATGATATTATTATTTTTTTATATGAGCTTGGGGATAATGACAAGCTCATCCTTTTTCCCAGATGGGTTGATTCTTTTTGATTTCAGTAGATTACTATTTTTGCTACAGCTCCTTACTACAATTTCTCCTGTTACTCCTAGGTTACGTGAATCACTTTTTGTGTTTATTTTCAATTTTCTTTACATGGATTATGTTTTTTTTGTTGCTTGTTTAGTTTGTTTTGGTTTGTTTTGTTGTTTTATGCACACTGTGTTGCACGACCCTGCCCCTTGCTGATGTGAGCTAGTAATTACACGTTCCTTGGGATGGGTGTTTTTCACGTGTTATGTGAGGTCCGGTGTCAGAACTTTTTTTGTTTATGTTTCGTTTCTGGTGAGCCATGAGTTGCCTCATGCCTCAAGAGGAGGGGAGGCTGATAACAATTTCCTCACATTATTACACTGCCTGGATGAAATTACCTTAAATATTAGATGATAAGGATTGTTGCTGAAAACAATTCAAAATCAACAGTGATCTCCCAGAATTTTCTTGTGCTTTTTCGCCACAGGTCGTGAAACCAGGAAATTGGGTTCTGATGAAGGTGCTGAAGTGAAACAGATGGGGCAGCCAGAGGTCCATTCGAAGTACTCCTCATCACTCCCACTGCTGTGAAGATTGCTGAGAGGCCATCTTGAAATTATCTATCCCACTGCAAGCTTATCAACCAACCGCTTTAGCACGGCAATGAAGTCCGGCTACAAAGGGGTGGACCACCACTAGGGTGCCATCTCTCAAACCTGGTGAAGATAAGATCAAGATAAGATGAGATAAAGATCTGCTTCAAGCATGCTGGGTTCACCCCATTGTTGATGTTGGTGGTCACACTCATGGCCCTGCACTTGGGCTGCCTCTCAGCACCTGATGGAACAACTGGGACAGCAGCATTTGAGGGGGTACTAGAACTGGAACTGAAACGACGGATTGGGGCTCCTCCCTGACCGCACACCTACAGGACAACATAACTTGCATCCACCTTGGCTGAAGACCCCCTGGACACAGCGAAGAAGAGACGCTGGGAAAGGGTAACTACTTCAAGCACCTGCACCCAAATCTCCAGACCGGTTTCACAGTCAAGGACCAGTAGGACCTTTCGGGGACAAGGTCAGCTCCCTGACAATTGGGCAACCGCCTCAACACGCCATGGAAGGATCCTGGTGTGTTCCTATTGAGAAGTTGAACTTTGTGCTTCATGTCCTGAACTATGTTTTTGCGCTCCGAACATGGACTTTAAGGTACTCATTAACGCAAGACTGAAACCATCCTGATCAACGGAAGAGGACTCTTCACTTTCAAACCTATTCTCCAACCGGGACTCTCGGTCCACGGACAAGCCATTTGATGAAGAACGCCTGGGTTGCCTCAGCTCTGCCATAGTTAGAGCTGCATAAACGTCCATTTTCCCTCATTCACTGAAAGAGTCGTCTGCAACTTGGAGCTTTAAACTAAATTCACCTGATGTTTCAATACACTGCACTGATGTTTTCTGTGTATTATGTGGTTTTGCTGACCCGTCCCAATCTCCTTACAGGAACTGCCATAAAATTGTAGAATTGTGCATAGAATAGAATAGAATATCCTTTATTGTCACTGTACACACTCGTACAACGAAATTTGGGAGCCACTCCCGGGTGCAAGTTGAAAGAAATACATAACACTCAATAAAAATTCAGTCAGGACAAATACTTCCCTAAAAGAAATACGTAACACTACATTAATAAAATTCAGTCTGGACAAATCCTTCCTTCATGTACTATATAAAATTAGAACCATGCAGCTTGTGTGGTTCCATCAGGGCTACACCTGCAAACATTAGATAAGATAAGAACGTGTGCTTTCAAATCAGCACGTTCTTTTTGTTGTTAACCGCCATGATAGCCCTGGGGAAAAACTGTCTCTGAAGCGGTTTGTCCTGGTCCTCTGGGATCTGTACCGACGACCCGATGGCAACAGCTGAAACAAGTGGTTCCCAGGATGGAACTTGTCCTTAATGATGTTGGAAGCCCTGCTGAGATAACGGGGGTATGCGAAGTCCTCCAGGCTGGGCAGCGAGCAGCCAATGATCCTCTGGGCGGAGTGTATAACCCTCTGGAGCACTCTCCTGTGTGCAGCAGTGCACCCTGCATACCAAATAGTTATCCTGTATGCTAGGATGCTCTCAATAGTGGCTCTGTAGAATGTCACCAGCAGTCTCTCCTCCAGGTTGTTCCTCCTGAGCACCCTCAGAAAGTGGAGACGCTGCTGAGCCTTTTTTGATGCTGCCGAGGTGTTAGCAGACCAGCAGAGGTCATCAGAGACGACGACACCCAGAAACCTCATGGAGTGATTGCATCACAGTAAATTCATTTCAATATGTATGAAATAGTTTTTCTTCAGGTTATAATTGTGTTGATTTAGCTGATTCCTTTCTCTATCTCTGTGAACTGCTGTAAGATATTATTGTCAGTTGTGTTTGCCTCATAGTGTTTATTACCTTATTTGTTCTTATTATTTTGCTGATTTTTGTATTACACATTGTATGGAATGATTCTTTGGACAAGTTAACAGGATTGAGATTATGATCCGCAATAGACAAATGATTGCAGCGCCTCATGCTGCGTTTGCCTTATCGTGTTGATTCTGAACCTTTCACATCTGATCGAAGTCGTGATTGATGTAGCTTTCATAGATAATGGTGACAAGGTATGGAAATGCGTACAATTTCCTTATTATTTTACTCATTTTTTTAATTTTCCTTATTTGGTTTGTTTTGTTGCTTTCTTTTGTTTGGTTATCCTATTCGGATAAACAGGAGGGAACGTTATGGAAAATGTGTTTATTAATTCTTGATCATGAACTCAATCAACTGAATGTAATATGTGTTGCTCTATGCCTCTCAGCACTAATTCAGAACTTCTTCACACACACACACACACACACACACACACACACACACACACACACACACACACACACACACACACACACACACACACACACACACACACACACACACACACACACACACACACACACACACACACACACACACACACACACACACACACACACACACACACACACACACACACACACACACACACACACACACACACACACACACACACTCTCTCTCTCTCTCTCTCACTCCCATCTCTATAAATAAACTCTGTGAGCAGATGTTCGGGGCATTTTGCCTCGTGCGTTGTGCCGCAGTTATAACGGTTTGACTTGTCTGTTCGTTGTCTCCTTTTTCTCTCCGACTACAGGAAATGGGTTATTGATAAACATATTGATAAAATCCATGACAATCACTTTATTGGAAAAGGACACAGACAGAACACAAGTGTTCTTGTGCAGCCTCAGATGAGACACAGATTTGACCATGCTCTGTCGGGTCCATGTTGGAAGTAGTCGACTCTGGACCAATAAGTGCTACAGGGTGGTTTGAAAGATGTGGATATTTGAAATGAGTTGTAGTACAAGTATGCTGGAAACCCAAGCTGCCACAGTGACTGATGCATGGGGTCCCTTTGTGTCCCATTGTCTTACCTGTCTGAGGACTCTGCTGTCCAATGCGGAGCTTCTCTGAATCCTCACGCTTGCGGCTGTCCAGCGAGCGAAGTGACTGGCTGCGAGAGGGATGGCGACCTTTGCCTAAAGGAGGATGAGTCAAAGCCAGGAGGGGAGGAGGGGCAAAGGTTAGCAACCAGAGCTCCTTCGTGAATGGTTTATATTTGGGACACAACATGGTGGGATTGGTCACCCAGAACAGCATCAGCCAAACTTGGGACTTGTGTCGACGTTCATGTCATGTTGTCTATTGTGTTAGTTGTGTGTTGCTGTTAATATGGGTCTCTTTAAGTGCCTCTGATGAGATGACTGAGGAAACACGTAAACCCATCGCAACTAAAGTCATGACTGACTGCTGTGTGAGACAGAAATCCTCCTGAAGAAAGCAGTCAGACATTTTAGTGAAAGCTGAAACATTCTTTCTCTGCAAACAAGCACACAAATGAAGCCTATCTGAGTCATTTGAGCCCTCTGTGGAGTAATGAATTAGAAATACTGTAGTCAGAAAGGTTGACCACATCGTTCTTAATTTTCAACGATCAAAGTACCCTCTCCAACATGCACTCGTAAAGTAAAAAAAGCTGAACAAGCAGGCTTATGGATGGGTTGTTCAGATCCAAAAGGCCAAAAATGAATAGCCTAAAAAACACACTTTACATACTCTACACACACACACACACACACACACACACACACGTGCACACACACACACACACACACACACACACACACGTGCACACACACACACACACACACGTGCACACACACACACACACACGTGCACACACACACACACACAATAAAGCTCAGAGATGAAGAGATTGACAGGATGAGAGCTCACCTGTGCAGGACAGTGAGTTGCATGGCTGGCCCTCCTCTACCACACCCTCACACAAGAAAGACTCCTCTGGAGGAGACTGACAAGTCCGAGTGCGGGTTTGAATCCCGCCTCCACACTCGCTGCTGCACTGTGCCCATCGACCCCATACACTCCAACCAGCTGGAGACACAAACACACAGTAGGAGTCATTAGTGGCACATTTCCATACCTGCTCAGTGTGGCTCATTGTTTTTCAACCCAATGATTGTGTGTGTGTGTGTGTGTTGGGGGGGGGGGGGGGTAAAATAACACACATATGAGGTCATATGAGGTGTTGACTCTATAGCAAATGAAAACTTCTTCCTCTTTAATTTGACATGCCAACACTGTGACCACTCTTGCCACCTAGTGGTGTGATGGTGTTTTTTTGGTGATTTTGTCAACATGAAGATAACTTTTAAAAATGTAGAATGAGGAAGAGATGGGACTTGTTTTGTTGTTCATTTTATCTACATTTCATTTTCCATGTTTTATATTCAAATCCAAGAAAAGTTCTAGAAAGACGTCCACTTTCTCATTCTTCCACCAGCTGAGTCTAAGTTTTAAAAACAGGTGGTAGCGTTCACTTTTGTAAGTCTCCGGTTGTATGTGTATGTATGAGCATGAGGGAGGGAGTGTGTGACTGTATTTGTCAGGTGGGGTCTTGAACGCCTCCCCTCTCCAGGGACTTCCTGTGCTACTACACATCGTGGCCTGCCCTCCCCCTGCCACATTTGCTGATGAGTGTGGTGCCTTGGTCTGCCTGAGTGTTCCCGGTTCCCCGGTTTGTGGGAGTAAAGATGTTTGGCATCTGCCTGATTAATCCCGGTGGGTGCCTGGGGGGTCTGAGTCCCTGGGCTCTGCTGGGTCCTAGGTCGCTGGGTTCCGGGCTCGGCCGGCTAGGGGGTGGGAGGCTGCGGGCGGGCCTGTGGGCTTGCCACTGATATCTCCCGGGACTCTGCCAGCTGTGGCCCCCCGGGGCGATCCTCTGCACCTCTCGAGGGGGGCGGGGGCTTTTCTGGTCGCAGTCCCCTTGCGGTTCCTGTGTTCTGGGGCAGCTCCTGGATCTCTGGGACTTGGAGCTCCCTCCGTCTCCTACACATGTTTAGGGGGCAGATCTGTGGTCCCTCACACTCTCTATTGGACGCTCCTGTAGAGAAACCTTACATAAACAAGTGTGTGTACACACACAGGTGCTCACATGGTGCTCTCATAAGTATGGACTTGGGCACGTTCAACACATGTCATAGGGCTGTGGTTGGCACTAAATGCACTGTGATTTATGATCATGTGATTGTTCAGTAAAACAATGTTGATTTTACATTTCCTCATCAGGTTGATGCAGTGATTGTCATGATCCCGAACGAGTCACTCTTAAGCAGACAAAGCACACTCGGACTCAGAAACAAGTTTTTCTTAAAACTGCTTATTTTCTTTTGGACCAGAGGAATCGAGAGACCAAGAGGAAGTGAGGATTCGAGGAGGATTGTCAGTGGAAGAGGTAGGTATGGCGAGTATATGTAGAACCGAACAGAACATTCTTTAGCAGGATTAATTGGAATCGATAACTCACTAGAGCTGTGGAGGGACTGGTCCTGAGAGAGAGGTGAGTATTCAAGATCATTGAAGGTTGTGAGAGCTGCGCGGTGGATTAGTGGTGTTTTCTTTCCACAGGAGAGCTGAGCAGCTTGGCAGAATCCAGTGCTGGAGCTATTGCAGTGGCGGAGAGAGGAGTAGCCACACCCGGGGAGACGGACGTCCAAACCAGTGAAAACGTGGAGAAGAGAACTTGAATGTATGAACCGATGAGGAACTTCCTGGGTCTTCAAAAATGCAGAAGAGGTTGCACTCCATAAACGGAATCAGCTGACGTCCGTCTGGTGGCTCCACTCCTCCTAAATACTGCTGCCTTGATGAGGTAACTGGCTCCAGCTGGGACCACTCAGCACCTGGGAAAGGAGAGGAACAGCTCCACCTGCTGGATGCTGACAGTGATAGCTTGCTCTTGTTTTGCTGTGTGTTGTTTTTCTCCTTCTGCAGGCCTAGAAGCCGACTCTTGTTCATCATCCTTTAGTCTCTTCCTTTCTCTTTCACCTCTGTCTCCGTGTCTGGTCAGAATTAAAAAGCATCCAAAAACAATAACAATAAAGTTTTACGTATCCGGCGTGACATTAAAGCAGAATCTTTGATGCGCCACCTGAGAGTAAATCTGTAAGGCTTGTCACCAGCATTCAAACATCATCTGTTTGCTTCACAGCCAGACAGGACACGGGTGGGGGGAGGTGGTAACCATGATCACACAACTGACCAGTCTTTTTTTATTGATATATTTTTGTTTTGTTTTTGTTTTGTTCCAAAAAGGCATGAAACCACTTGTCAAAGCAGATGCAGCATGGATAAAGGCACACACCGGCCATCACAGAGCGATGGTATCTCAACATGAAAGAGTCTAAGGGGATGTTTTTCCCTCTAAAACCGAGGCGTGATGAATGCAATTGTCATCATGAAAGTCCCTGTTTGGTCATTCTGATTTAATGCTCTCCATTAAGATATGTGCTGATATGAGGGGGATTGGTAAAGTGCTGCTGAACAACTCTCTCCCTGCCTGCGTCCTGCATGCTCATAAATGTTTAATGGCACAGACAGATGCCTTTAAACCCCCACAGGCGACGACAAATATGTATTAATCTGCATGAATAGAACATGAAGTTGGCCGGCATCCAGACACACGATTTTAATTACCCACAAGTCAACTTCCTCTGAGGATGAGGCTGCAGTGAGAGGGCACAGTAGAGAGCACTTGATTCAGTCCAAAGAGTGAGACATGAATACACACACACACACACACACACACACACACACACACACACACACACACACACACACACACACACACACACACACACACACACACACACACACACACACACACACACAAACACAAAAGACAGACCTAAGAAACATTTCAATGTTCCTTAAAAGAATGAAATAAACGTCCTGATCATGAGTGAGGAACCCAGCAGGATTATTACCGTTCTGTTTGTGACTCAGAGACATCTTAGCCCTGCAGCTTCACAAATCCAAAAGTATTTGCAGGAATCGTGTACTATGACTTTTGGTAGCTGCACATCATACGACCCAAAGCACTATTCAACTATATGATTTGTTGACACAGGTGAGGAAGCCCTCCCCTTTAAAGTTCTACCTCCTACTCAGGTTGACTTCCCAGTTGAAAGACCAGTACATTTAAACAGGCGACAGAGCGCTGGACTTTACATGACTGGCCTGATGTGATTATGTACGGTGTGTGTGTGTGTGTGTGTGTGTGTGTGTGTGTGTGTGTGTGTGTGTGTGTGTGTGTGTGTGTGTGTGAGTACATAGGCACTACTGGTGTACATACTAGGACTGAACGATTTTAGGAAAAGATTAAATTGCGATTTTTCTAGCAGAAATTGTGATTTGAGTTTAATTCATGATTTTCTGCAAACAAAGGTCCAACACCAGCCTGCCAAGCCATCCTGTACAGGTCCTTCTCAACTAATTAGCATATTGTGATCAAGTTCATTATGATAATGATAAATGACCCGCACTTGTATAGCGCCTCTCAGAGTAAGGACTCCAAAGTGCTTTACACTACAGTGTATCATTCATCCATTCACACACACATTCATACACTGGTGGGGATGAGCTACGATGTAGCCACAGCTGCCCTGGGGCGCACTGACAGAGGCGAGGCTGCCGAGCCCTGGCGCCACCGGACCCTCCGACCACCACCAGCAGGCAAGGTGGGTTAAGTGTCTTGCCCAAGGACACAACAGCAGAATTATCTGTCCGGAGCCGGGATCGAACCTGCAACCTTCCGATTACTGGACAACCCGCTCTACCTGTTGAGCTGCTGTCTGTAATGTACTGATCAACATCAGACTTTCATATATAGTAGATTCATTACACACAACTGAAGTAGTTCAAGCCTTTTATTGTTTCTAATATTGATGATTTTGGCGTACAGCTCATGAAAACCCAAAACTCCTATCTCAAGTTGGCAATATATATCATACACACACACACATATATGTGTGTGTGTGTGTGTATGGTGACAATACTTTAATTTGTTTGTTGATTAACATTTTCAATCAAAAAATAGAAGTGGAAATAGAGTTTGGTGACACCATTAAACAAGACCTTCATACAGCTTCGAGTAGATTGTGGTCCACCGGCAGTGCACTACCAACACTATCTATAGTGGGGACGGTGTGCTGCCGACCTCTACTCGGGACGTTGGGGATTGGTGGACAGAATACTTCGAAGACGTCCTCAATCCTACCGGCACGTCTTCCAGTGACCAAGCAGAGTCCAGGGACTTTGAGTTGGACTTTCAATTCTCTGGTGCTGAGATCAATAAGGTTGTCCAAAAGCTCCTCTGTGGCAAGGCCCCGGGGGTGGATGAGATTTGCCCAGAGTTTCCTAAGGCTCTGGATGTTGTACAGCTGTGTTCCAACTACAGTGATCACACTCCTGAGCCTCCCTGGTAAAGTATATTCCAGGGTTCTGGAGAGGAGGATCCGGCGGCTTCGTCTTGGTCGTGGAACAATGGACCAGCTCGAAACCCCCAGGGGGATCCTGGAAGGTGCGTGGGAGTTTGCCCAAGCAATCTACATGTGTTTTGTGGATTTGTAGAAGGCGTTTGACCGCGCCCCTTGGGGGGCGGGTTTAGGGTTAGGGGTGCTTCGGGAGTATGGGGTACCAGGCCCTGTGGTATGAGCTGTTAGACACCTGTATGACCGGTGTCAGAGCTTGGTCTGCATTGCTGGCAGTAAGTCGAGCTCGTTTCCGGTGAGAGTTGGACTCCACCAAGGCTGCCCTTTGTCACTGATTCTGTTCATAACCTTCATGGACAGGATTTCTAGGTGGCCTGATGATTGAGTCTCTGCTTTTTGCAGATGGTCCTGTTGGCTTCATCAGAACGTGATCTTCGGCTCTCATTGGAGCAATTTACAATTGAGTGTGAAGCAGCTGGGATGAGAATCAGCTCCTCTAAATCAGAGACCATGGTCTTGAGTCGGAAAAGGGTAGAATTCCTTCTCCGGATCAGGGATGAAGTCCTGCCCCAAGTGGAGGAGTTTAGGTATCTCAGGGTCGTG